GGTGGGATCACGTTATAATCAGGATCCACTGAGTCTTCCTGTCTCCTCTTAACCAGTCAATCCAAACGCCTTAGCTTGACAGGCACAGTCAAGTTCTAAATGACTGCCTCTGGCCTCTAGCTGATACAATCCTTAAACAGGAATAAGAAAAGTAGCTACTATGTATACTTTATAGTTTACACAAATCTTTAGCAATATGTCTCCTTTGAGATGGATGAGATTTGTATCGTTTTTCCCATTTTGTAAATGGAGTACAATCAGTTTGATGTTAGGTTTAATCCCTATAAGAGAGGTCCAAAATAGTATTGGTTTAAAACTTATGTCTCTCTCCTGTGATAGTTCCAAGGTAAGTCACCCGTTCTATAAGATTACCCGTGCCCCAGGTTCCTCCTTTCTTGTGTCTCTGCCATCTTTAACAGTTGGCCTGTGGTCCAAGGTGGCAGCTTCAGCACCTGCCACCACATCTACATCCTAGTCAGGGGGAGGGAAGGTAAAAAGTGGGCAACGGAGGGCACACTTCTTCCCTTTAAGGCATAGTGTTGACATTGCATATGTTACATCTGCTCACATTCTGTTAGCCTAAACGGGGTCACCTGACCACATCTCCTTCCAAAGGAGGCTGGAAGGTGGAATTTTTAGGTGGCCATGTGCTCAGCTGGAAACTCCATTACCATATAAAAAGAGAGAAACATAGCAGGGGACAGCCAGCAGCTCTGCCACCGATGAAACAGCTAAAGAGGTTATTTGCCCAAAGCCACATAGCTGTGAGCGCTACTGGCCCATCTCCTGGATCCAGCAGCCCTTCTTCTAGTTGCTTATTATATCTTACTTCTTTCTTTTTTGGTTGTGGATTCAAAATATACCTTTTTAGATGAAACCCACATGGAGATTCCCAACAGACCTGAATCAGTGTGTCTGGGGTAGGGCCTGAGAACATGCTTTCCTGACAGATTTCCAGATAGTGCTGATACCACTCCTGCACTTTTAGTAGCACTGAGTTCCTTTACTAGCTGGTTGTAGACAAGGTGGGGAGGGAAAAGGGGTTTCTTATCCAGCATCAGCCTATACCTTTTTCTCAGCCTTTGCCCAGACCCAATTTTCTGTCAAGCATGAGTGTCTCTTCCACTAATGTGTGGTAATAGGGACTAGAGAGCCAGAAAAGCAAGCCGCAAGTGAAGAGGACATCCCTACCACCCTTAAGAAATGAACTCTGGGCCAGGTGCAGTGGCCCACGGCTTGTAATCCCAGCACTTTGAGATGCCAAATCCCAGGAGGATCACTTACGCCCAGGAGTTCAAGACCAGCCTGGGCAACATAGCAAGACCTGTCTCTACTAAAAATAAAAATTAGGCTGGGCGCGGTGGCTCACGCCTGTAATCCAAGCACTTCGGGAGGCCGAGGCAGGCAGATCATGAGGTCAGGAGATTGAGACCATCTTGGTTAACCCGGTGAAACCCCATCTCTACTAAAAATACAGAAAATTAGCTGGGTGTGGTGGCACGCGCCTGTAGTCCCAGCTACTTGGGAGGCTGAGGCACGAGAATCACTTGAACCCAAGAGGCAGAGGTTGCAGTGAGCCAAGATCACGCTACTGCAGTCAGCCTAGGTGACAGAGTGAGATTCTGTCTCAAAAAAAAAAAAAAAAAAAAAAGAGAGAAAAGAAATGGACTCTGATGGAAAAGATGTGTACAATGCTGATTATACTAATAAGAGGGATATTTAAATAAATGCTGAAAAGAAAGGCAGGGGAAGCTCCAGGGGAGCCATCCTTCCCAACTGTTCACTTAAATTTTCGGCAGTTTGGGTATGCCAGATGGTGAACCTAGGTAGCTGTGTCTTTCAACTCTTGAGGACCCAATATCAGATGCCTGAAAATCTTGCCTTCTTAGCTGTCTGATTAGATGTAACACCAGGGACAGGAGCTGCTCATTATTCCCCAGTATCCGTTTTCTTCTGTAGTAATAGAAGTTTCCGTTGAGCCTTGGCCACTCTGCCACTGGGTGGGCCCTGGGACTGAGTTCCAGCTGAGAGGATGTTAGCAGCGGTGATGTGTGAAGCTTCATGGCCCTAAAGTGAGGCTGCTGCTTTTCTCCTCCCCCACCTCCCCTTCCTAGCCACTGGGATTCTGCTGTGGTGGTGGGACACCTCCCGGGCCATGTGGAGAATGGTGAGACCCTAGAGATGACCAAGTATTGAGGATGGAGCCTGTGTCCCTGTCACCCTGAGGCTGCCAGACCAGCTCTGGCTGCCTACGCCTTAGATAGGAGTGAACTCTCTTTCCTAAGCCACCATCTTGGGCCATGTCACCACAGCCAAACTTACTAACTGTATATTATCTCAGGGCTTCTTTCCATTATCTTGAGACCTGAGATTTATCTTAATATGTCCACAAGTACTATGCATAGCTGGGTAAAAATAAGCCAGTATTTGAGGAAGAAAAAAAAAAAAAAGAACATTTTTATACCAAGGAGCGATTGACTTTCAGAAAACAATAGACTTCTCTCTCCTCCCTTCCTCCAAAAAAAGAAGTTGGAAACCTTTTGGGTTTTTTGTTTGTTTGTTTGTTTGTTTTTGTTTTTGAGATGGAGTCTCACTCTGTCACCTAGGCTGGAATGCAGTGGCATGATCTGGGCTCACTGCAACCTCCCCTCCCAGGTTCAAGTGATTCTCAAGACTCAGCCTTCCAAGTAGCTGGGATTACAGGTGCCTGTCACCACGCTCGGCTAATTTTTGTATATTTAGTACAGATGGGGCTTCACCCTGTTGGCCAGGCTGGTCTCAAACTCCTGACCTCTCAGGTGATCCACTCACCTCGGCCTCCCAAAGTGCTGGGATTACAGGTGTGAGCCACTGCACCTAGCGGAAATTTTAAGTTACTATATTGTCCTTGTAGCTGTCTTTCACCATGGCCCAGGGAACTGGCATTTCAGTTGGAGAAGCTATAAGGTTTTTCAACTTGAAGACTCTCTGATCCAGGGCCTATTTCTCTATAGCAACAAGACCTCATGTTTCTGTGAAGCTCAGTGACATTCTAGAGCCCTCTGAAGCTTCACGTATCCCTCCTTCACTTCGGTAGCCCAGATTTCTTTTTTTAACCTTTATGATGATCCTGGTTTCTTTGCTCTTCTCTTTTCTTTCATCCCTCCACTTATTTTCACTACATTTCCTCCAACCCAGGCATTCCCCTGGACATGTTTACTTTTGGGAATGTTAAACAAGACTAGGGAAGTCACAAAGTTAGGTACTGTGAGATAGTGCCTGAGAGAGGCTTCTAATAACCTGGCAGAGCCCCCAGCATGGGGGGTGCACAGCGGGAGAATGCCCCTGCCTTCTACTCACGTCTCTACCAACCTTCTTCCCCTTCCCCATTTCTTTCCAAGGGAAATAGCAGTTTGTTTTTTCTCTAGAGTTCAGAAAAATGGGCCATCCTTACTGAGAGATGGGGTCATTGCATGTTCACAGGCCCTAGACTCAGAGAGTCTTTCTTTCCCCCATCTCCCCTCTGCCCCTCTCATCCACATGGGTTCATGTACAAGGCCCAGGACATCAGGGCAGTTCTGGCCAGGTTGAGCTTTCCCTGAATTCTCTTTCATTCATTCTCATTCTTTCCTTGTATAAAGAACTAGACATGCATGACAGCCCTGAAACACATCCTCAAAGATGTTCACTGCAGTAGCATTTGTAATCCTGGAAAAATTAGCAACATTGAAATGCCCATCAATAGGGAAAAAGTTAAATTATGAAGTATTAGTGGCGAGACAAGACTGAATGGCTTGGCAAGTACTAAATGTGCGTAACTCTATATTCTAAGAGGTGATAAGGGGGAAAAATACCAGTAAGAGTTTCTGTGTGAATGCACAGATGTGTTTCTAGACCAAAAAGTAAACAAAAAAAACAACCAACAATCCTAATGAGTCATTCAGTGAGACCAGGGCTTCTTAGGGGACAGTTTCGGCAGCCTGACCCTGGGTCTGACTGTGATGAAACCCTTATCTTAAAGGTGAAGTGCCCTGACCCGGGGACAATGTGAGCACAGGTGGAGGTGGTGACAAAGACATCCAACCTCTGCCACAATGCTAGGGCCTGCAGTGGGAAAATTCTATGTACCTTTTTTTTCTCTGAGAAGAAAAAGATTGCTTCCTCCCTTTCCCCTACCCCTTCCTCTGTCTCCAAGTTACCGAGGGAAAGATGTTAGACCACAGAGGGCCCGCTCCTTGAGAGGCATCCCCTTCCTCCCCAGTTGGTTTCTGCTCTGGTTTCACCTCACCACCGCCCCTCCCCTGTTCAGGCAGGACCCAGCTTTGCATGGTTCAGAGCATGGTTTCTTAGAGTTTAGACATAACTGAAAACCAAATACCTACCGGGACTTACATATCTTCTCTAAAAATAGGAAAAAATAAGGTTAAGCCAAGGGTAACGTTAGTTCCCAAAGGGCTGTAATAGTGTCTATAACCGCCTTTTTAAGAACTTACAGCTAGGACAGAGAAGCTCACTTAAATATCCCTCCCTGTTTGGAACAGGGGGTTAGGGAGTCAGCTGGGTCTGTTTTGGGGGGCACTCTATTGCACCTCTATGTCAGGGACACATGCAAGGACCACAACTGCTGCTGAGGGCCAGGGGCTGAGGCTGAGCCCACTGAGTGGGCGCCACTGCTGCCTGCCATCCTCAGACAGTGTCAGCTCGGCTGACATCTGGATGAGATGAGGCTCAGGAGCAAACCGAAGAAGCAAAATGACTGAAGGGGCGGCATGCAGTCTCAGTGTCTTGTGGGGGCAGGGGGTGGCATCTGGTATGAGCTGCCGTAAAACCCTCTCCTCTCGCACTTGCTGCCTCCCCAAGGCCCTGAGAGCTGCCTTCCCACCGCCTTGTCTCCCACCCTCCCACAGGTGTCCCACTTGGGCCCCTTCCCACACCAGAGGTACAGCCGTGGTCACTTCTGAAGTCCAGAGATGTGCAGACCCTCCCCTCTCCCTAAACACTCTGCCCCTGTGTCCCCCCAGGGCCTGTGCTTTAATGGCAGTGCCTTCGTCTTGTATCTCTCTGCCGCTGTTGTAGATGCATCTTCCGTCTCCTCCGAGAGGGACAGTCACAACTTCAACAGCTGGGCGGCCTCATCGGTGAGTAGTCCTCCATCCCCACATGATCGTCCTCTTCCCTCTCCAAGGCTTGCTTGGGGCTGGGGAAGATAGAGTCATCTGCAGGAAAAAGCAGCGCTTGCAGTAGTGACAAATTAGCAGTTGGCTTATTGGTTTGAAAATATCTAAAACTGGCAGGGGGCAGGGGCCCTCCTGGCCTGAAGTGGGAAAAGGCTGGGAGATGCTTGAGTGAATGAATGCTGAATGACTGGAACAAGATAAGGATTCAAGGGAGAAAAACTGTTTAAAGCATGCTAAGAATAATTCTACTGCCTATAATTTATTAAGTGGGAGAAGGTTGCAGAAAATGAACAGAATATGATTCCATTTAGTTTTTTTTAAAAGTAAAAATATTTGTTTATGCATTGAGAATGCCTAGAAAAATATATACCAGTAGAGGTTCCTTCTAGAGAATGGGATTGGGAAATGAGGGGAGTGGGACGAGGAACTTCTACTTTTCTTTTTTTTTTTTTTTTTTAGAGAAGGGGTCTTGCTCCATCACCCAGGCTGGAGTGCAGTGGCATAATTATAGGTCACTGCAACCTGGAACTCCTCGGCTTGAGCCATCCTCCTGCCTCAGCCTCCTGAATAGCTGGGACTAGAATCTGCACCACCATGCCCAACTAATGTTTTCACTTTCTGTAGAGACTAAGTCTCGCTATGTTGCACAGGCTGGTCTGGATCTGGGCTCGAGTGATCTTCCAGCCTTGGCCTCCCAAAGTGCTGGAATTACAGGCATGAGCCACCGCACCTGACCTTACTTTTTAATTTATATACTTCTGTTTGCATTTTTAAACCATAAGTGTGTATTATTTTTCTAATTAAAAAGAAAATACTGGTATTAAGAATCTCTCTGAGATTGGCCTTAAAATAGCCCATCTCCAAAAGAAGCCTATCGGAGGAGGGGAGGCAGTTAGACAGAAATGCCAGAATGATTATGTCAAAGCTGATTGATGGTACTTGGGGGTTCATCATATTCTTTACTTTTATTTCTATTTGAAGATCTCTATTTAAAAGTAGATTGGTCGGGCACAGTGGCACATGCCTGTAATCCCAGCACTTTGGGAGGCCTAGGCGGGTGGATCACCTGAGGTCAGGAGTTCGAGGCCAGCCTGGCCAACACGGTGAAACCCCATCTCTACTAAAAATACTAAAAAATGAGCTGGGGGTGGTGGTGGGCACCTGTAATCCCAGCTACTTGGGAGGCTGAGGCAGGAGAATCGCTTGAACCCAGGAGGCAGAGGTTGCAGTGAGCCGAGATCATGCCAGCCTGGGCAACAAGAGCAAAACTCCCTCTCAAAAAAACAAAATAAAATAAAAGTAGAGCACATGGATGCTGGTGACATTAAAAATCACAAGCTTCGTCAAGACTGGGCTCAAGTTAACACATAGCAAGAGTGGACTAGAACTGGGTGGACGCTGCCCCATTAATTCAGAAGGGCCTGCATTTTCTCCTCCCTGTTCACACCACACACACCATGTGGGCTCACTGCTGACTCTGGCCCACTCCACTCATTTATGTGAACTGACACTGTAGCAATCCCAGATTGTACCCTGGACCTAGGTTGTCTGTGCTAAATTAGAAATGATATACTTTTCTCAGATGCACTGCCGGTGCATTCACTCCTAAGTGAACTCCCTGAGGTTATTTGAGCAAAACTACAGGCTTTCAGATGTTCTCCAAAATCAAAACAGCATAGCCAGAAATCATTTGAGAAGGATAGTTAATTGAAGCAATAAAGTAGTTTTAGATGACAAAGCCTGGTATCAAGAGAAGGTAATGAGTGCATGGTTCAATGGAGGTGAAATGATAACTTTTGCTAATTAGGATGTGCCCTAAACCCCACTTCTATTATGCTTTGTTTTCTCCAGTTCTTTGCCTTCCTGGTCACCATCTGCTACGCTGGAAATACATATTTCAGTTTTATAGCATGGAGATCCAGGACCATACAGTGATTTACCATTTTGATAATTAAAAGGGAAAGAAAAGGAAGACTCTCACTGTAAAAACAGCTGTAGGTATAATGTATATTCCCAGAGAATTGTATTTAACTAATTAATGTTTTTTATATTCTTAAATTTGCTCACAAATTGTGGTTTGTTACAATTAAACTGGATACTTATTTGCACAGTGTTGCAGCTTATAATGAACTCTTAAGTATCTTATTAATGTATTAATGTCTTCATAGATGGTATTTTCTTAGACAATGTTTAAATAGATAAATTGCTAATATCGAGAATGTATCAAGTTTGTAAACCTAACTTTTAAGATGCCAGATTCTTTTTTGATTAAATGTTGCAAAATCCCAACTAATGTGTTTGATTGGAGAAAGGAGACCTACTGTTGAAGCCGGAGGCTAGGCTGTCAAGGCTGGCAGGAGGCTGGGAAGTCTCCCTCTTCACAGGGCTGCATGGTATGATATTGTCAGGAGACACTTATCCATAGTCCCAGGGCAAAGAGGCAGGAGATTCATCTCTCCAGTTCTGGGGATCATCGATCAGTGTTCATGATTTTCATATGCTAACAGGTTGCCCCAGAAAGCACCTATTCAGACCTGGCTTGGACATCAGTGATAAGCTCATGGGAAGTTATGCTACTAAGTGCAGTGACTGACGTGCTTGTGATGTTTTTTCTAATACGCATTAGAAAAAAATATATAACCATTAAAAGGATAAATATCTGAATATATTGAATATATCTTAAAATTATCTTGCTGGCTGGGCACCGTGGCTCATGCCTGTAATCCCAGCACTTTGGGAGGCCAAGGCGGGCGGATCACGAGGTCAGGAGATCGAGACCTGCCTGGCCAACATGGTGAAATCCGTCTCTACTAAAAATACAGAAATTAGCTGGGCGTGGTGGTGGGTGCCTGTAGTCCCAGCTACTTGGGAGGCTGAGGCAGGAGAATCGCTTGAACCTAGGAGGCAGAAGTTGCAGTGAGCCAAGATCGCACCACTGTACTCCAGCCCAGTGACAGAGCGAGACTGTGTCTCAAAAAAAAAAAAAAAAAAATTGCTTACCACAGTAACACGTGTACTATCTTTTGTGAAAACTACTGGGCTGGGCCAGGCATGGTGGGTCATGCCTATAATCCCAGTACTTCGGGAGCCTGAGGTGGGTGAATCACTTGAGGTCAGGAGTGCGAGACCAGCTTGGACAATATGGCAAAACTCCATCTGTATCAAAAATACAAAACATAAGCCGGGCATGGTGGCGCGCCCCTGTGGTCCCAGCTACTTAGAAGTCTGAGATAGGAGGATCCCTTGGACCTGGGAGGCAGAGGTTGCAGTGAGCCGTGATCATGCCACTGCACTCCAGTCTGAGCAACAGAGTAAGGCCCTGTCTCAAAAAAAAAAGAAAAAGAAAAACATAATAAGACACTGCTGGACCAAAAGGTTTCAATATTCCAAATCTTCAGTGCAAAAACATTGTAACATCATTATTAGATATTATCAGGTAAGGAGAAGAACTCAGCAAGGCAGTATGTACTTAGAGGAAGTGTTTTTAGGTAGGACGGTTCTTGTTAGTACAGCAGTGTATCTTGGATGACTTTTCAATATGAGCTTTTGAAAAACAAAAAACCACAGAAACGTTAGTGTAGTTGATGAGAATGCACAAAGCTGAAGCTGTGCGCTCTGTTGATATGACTCCCATGGCCTCTGCCTCTTGGTCTCTCACCTGTTTAGCAGTGCTGTTTTTTTCTGTTTGTGCTGGTTCTCTTTTTCTGATTCTAACTCCGTATCCAAGCTCTGATTACCCCTACACAGGAGAGTTGAGATTTCTTCAGTGTCTAGTCATACCCATCACAGACCTTTGAAAGTACCAATGAAGAATGTTCTGGGGTTGTGGACTAGGCCCCCCCAAAGAGGTAGTGGGGAGGGGAGCTCCAAAAATGAGAGGTGAGTGTAGGGTATGGATGTGTGTGAGTGGGTGGTGTTGGCGGGCACACAAGGCCACTCTGTGCCCAAAATGTAGCAAGCCATGGAAGGCCGAGCTTCCATAGCACAGACCTGTAGGCAGCTGGTGCTGTGATCTTTGGGGAGCTGATTCCCAGTCATCAGTGATTTTTTTTTTTTTTTTTTTTGAGAAGGAGTCTCACTCTGTCGCCCAGGCTGGAGTGCAGTGGCGCGATCTCCGCTCACTGCAAGCTCCGCCGCCTCCTGGGTTCACGCCATTCTCCTGCCTCAGCCTTCCTAGAAGCTGGGACTACAGGCGCCCACCACCACACCTGACTAATTTTTTTTGTGTTTTTAGTAGAGACAGGGTTTCACCGTGTTCGCCAGGATGGTCTCGATTTCCCAACCTCAGGTGATGCGCCTGCCTCGGCCTCCCAAAGTGCTGGGATTACAGGCGTGAGCCATCGCGCCTGGCCGTCATCACTGATTTTGCAGAAAAGCTGAAATAACTAGTCCCAGTTGGCATGCTCTACCTTTCCGTCCAGCTCTCCCTCTCACACTCACAAAAGCATGTGCACCTTTCACATACCCTGTGGGTTTTTTAAGTACTTTATGTTGCAAACAACACTCCATAAAAGTCAGAAAAACAGTAACCTACAGAGGCCTGCTTCTGGAAACAGAAAGAAGCGTGCTTTTATGCTCCATGCAAGCATGTGTGTGTCATTTCTATAATGATGGCCACATTTATAGAATGTAACTTCTGGGGTGAAGAGTGCCATAAACCACACTTTGAAATGTTCTTCAAGTAGACTGTAATTTTACTTCTTTCTTGAACTGGTAGCACCAAGGCATCTGTTTCAAAAGAACAATGCCTAGTTTGTGTCCATGCAGAGGCACTTGATGTCTTATTTTATTGGTGTTTTTTCAGAAGCATGATCCTTTATGTTACCTGAGAGTTCACTAAAACAACAGCAAAAAGCATTTATTTTTAGCTGAAAAATTATTATTTCATCTTTTGAATACTGAGGCTTCGTTCATGAATAAGCTTTAAGTATAGGTTTTTAGACAACAAAATGATTCTCCATTGTTCAGATTGGAGCTGTAAGTCGTGTATTGGGTTTGCTTTAATTTTTTTTTTCTAATAACAAGAGAAAACAAAGCCACACACAATGCAGTCAGCATAAGCATAGGTTTCTGGGAGCTTCAAAAATATTATTACAGGGATAGTATACAAGGTACTTAAACTCATCTCTGCCGTCTGCACTTGCCATCTGCATTCACCTCTCAGCCATTCCAAAACCTTCATGTCCTCTTTGGTGGAGCACGGTGAGTTTTTAACTTGATATATTTACCCACTCATGGCAAATCAATAAAATGCTTTAGGCAATTAATCTCTCTTTATTGCTATTTCCAACTTACTTCTCCCAAAAGATAAATATTTGGCCAACCTTTGAAAACTACAAGAAAATCTAGAGAAGAGGATGTTCGATATCAGTAATTTATTTTTTATTTTTAAGTTGCTGCCTTCACAGGAAAATCCCTTCAGGGCATCAGCACAAAAAAGATTATAAATACTTGAAGTATCTCTGTAATAGAAGGTAGACATTTAGAAATGCTAATTGAAGATGCAGCCCTGGGTAGAAAATCAACTTAAAGTCCATATTTTTGTCCTCTAGACAATTATTATTTTGATTGAAAAGATGAGTTTTCACAGAAAAAAATTGGTTTTATTGAAATTTAATTGAAAAGATAAATTTTCACAGAAAAAAAAACCTGGACATATGATACGTACAAGCACATGCGCGCACACACACAAGCACACACACTCTGAAAGGTGGCAGCCTGAGCACTTGTTAACTTGGATGCACATGAATGTTCTGCTGGCAACATCTGCCGCCAAATGTGAATTATAAGCAGACACCTGGGAAGGAAGGTAAGATAACTTCCAGTGTTGATGATGACCTAGAATAATGGGGAAGATTATAATGTATGTTGTTATAAGTTGGGGAGTGTATAAACTTGGGTTTTTGGTAAATATAAAAGAAGATAGGGTTTGGGAGAAAGTGCTTGGCATCACAGAGTGATGACTTTTCAGAAACTTCGGAAGGCAAGTGGGAAGAAAGGTGTTGATTAAAAAGATATTCCATTTGGAAGATATGTTTTGAGAAAACTTTCCTATCTATGGCAGCATTGTTTTTGCTAGAATATTCAGAATAGCTAAATGAACCCAGGGCATAGTGAACCTTGTGGCTGCCTCCCCCGCATCTTTTCTTCCTCCTCATAGTCTCAAACTGCCCTAGTTTTTATTCAGTATCCAGAACACCCTCTTATAGCCCCAGTGTTTTGTGAGAGGCCGACTCCATTAGCACTCTAGGAATGTAGCCTACGGCTCTGCCTCAGCTCATCAGCATGAGACCACCCTCCGCCACAGTGATTGGTTCAGAGATGGTCATGTGACCCAGGGCTTGCTTGGGAGTTCTGGGAAAGAGGCATGCTGTGTACGTGTGTGTTACGTAATATACATTGACCTTTTATGCCAGGCACTGTACTAAAGGGCTTTCCATCTATTATCTCATTTAACTCTCAGAAGGGGAACCCTGCACAGTAGATACTAGATTATCCTCACTTTACAGATGAGGAAACTGAGGTACAAAGAGGTTAAGCAATTTTATAAAATGTTATAAAAGTCATCTAGCTAGCAAGTGTGGAGAGCAAGCATATCAACTGCTGGGGTTAATGTATTGTATATTTAAAGCACCTGGCACACAGTTGGTGCTCAACAAATGACTTCCTTTCCTTCATTTTTTTAAATGTTTTGTTTTAATTGACAATAATTGTATGTATTTTGTGGGTACAATGTGATGTGGCTTTGGGGGGTTTTCTTTTTATTTTATTTATTTATTTATTTATTTATATTTTTCGAGACAGGGTCTCACTCTGTTACCCAGAGTACAGTGGCACAATAATGGCTCACTGCAGCCTCAACCTCCGGGGCTTAAGCAATCCTCTCACCTCAGCCTAGCTGGGACCACTGGGACCACAGTCATCTACCACCACACCTGGTTAATTTTTTATTTTTTTCGTAGACATGAGGTGTCACTACATTGCCCAGTCTGGTCTCGAACTCTGAGCTTAAACGATCTTTGTGCCTCAGCCACCCAAAGTGCTGGGATTATAGGCATGAGCTGTGCCTGGCCACAATGTGATGTTTTGATTTCTGTATACACTGTGGAATTATTAAATCTGTGCTTACTCTTTTTTTTTTTTTTTTTTCTCTTCTTTTGAGACAGGGTCTCACTCTGTCACCCAGGCTGGAGTGCAGTGGCAGAATCACGGCTCATTGAAGCCTCGACCTCCCTAGACTCAGATGATCCCCCCACCTCAGCTTCCCGAGTAGCTGGGACTACAGGCAT